CTGACCAGTGATGACATGTTTAGCCGCATGTCCTCATTCAACCGCTGGTTGTCTAGGTGGTTTCCTGAAAACAATCTGGGCTACATTAATTATTATTAAATAATTCTAATAAAAATTAAAACAACTCCAATTGGGGGAAAAAATGGTTTATTCAACATAAGATCTCTTTCGTCAAAACGTCTGTTAGTTAATAACTTGATTTGTGATAAGCGGATTTATATTGTCTTACAGAAACTTGACTGCAACAAGATTATGTGAGCATAAATGAGGCAATTCCCTATAGTTATTTACATTTTCACAAACCATGAAAATCTGGCTGAGGAGGAGGAGTAGCAAAAATCTGACTTAATGATTAGTCCACAGCTAGTTAATAATTACAACTCTGTCTCTCTGTCTCCTCTCAATTTCTTCAAGGGCCGTTTCTGTGGTTACAGCAAGACAGAAATGCATGCAACGAGTCAACTATCCTGAAAACCCAAAACAAACAACATATTTCTGAGCTGGTCTTCTTTATTAATCTACTGCAGTTTTTTTCTTTTTTTCTATATTCTTTTTTTTCTTTTTTCTATGTCCGCATTTGCAGTTGTTGGGCTTCAGGAGGTAGCACTGCTACAGACTATGGCCTGTTAGAATTCCTACGGTGGTCATCATAAACCTTGTCAAGTATCTGAGACACTTCTCTACTCTATCTGATGACAGTGTAAACATTCATTACTCAGTGTGGGTGTTGAGAAAGCTGTGAAAGCATTGCTTAAGACCATAAACCGAAGCCAAAACTCCAACAGCTCCAGACAGGTAGTTTCTATGGTACTGAGGCAGAACAAACACTGTTTGAATGGCAGATGATAGCTAAAGACTTGGGGTTTCTTTTGGAAAGTGCAATGGATTTTGTAACAATGGTTACCCAGGTCTGACATATGATAATACACACAAAAAAGCTTTCAATCTAACTAGGTTTTAGTGGTAACCTCAGCATGACTCCACTGTTTCTGCTTTTACACACCTTCATTCGGGGTCCTTTCACTGTTGATGAAGACCCCAGCACAGTGGTTCCCAACCCTTCTTCATGAACCCCTGTTCTGCATGTTTTAGGTGTTTCCTTATTGTATAAGACCAGAAAAAAGAGGATTAAAAGAAGCTCTTAGGAGCCCTAATTTGAATCCTGTTCGCTGGAGCAACAGTAACATATCTTAAATATTCAGGGCAGGGCAGGGGTTCCTGAAAACCAGGGTTTGGAACCACTGCCCTAGCATAATATTATTACATTATGGATGGGATCTGATTTAGTTAGGACTTATTGAGGTTTTCCGGGGTGTATTAAAAAGGCAGTTAGCTCCCTGTTATGCCTTATAGTTTGATAGATCTAATATATAGCCCCTCCCCCCTTCACACCTGACTGGAAACCCCAAAACTGTCCATATCATAGCTTGATTGTGGCATATTTAGAAAATTGGCTCTGGTTATTTATGATGTTAATATGCTTTAAACTTTTACCACTAACCCTGCTTTATCTAACCACAGTGCTACAATCAAAGATGTTGCAGCTATTATGAAGCATTCGATTAAAATCTAGTGATGCATACTTTGAATTTAAGATCTTTCTGCTGCTCTATCATTATCTTCAGCCTTACTGGGAATGCTTCATTGCCTTTAAACCTTACACTTTTAGCTTTGGCACAATTGCACAATTCTTTTTTTAATAATTTCATTAACTATGAGGTTACAGCTGTTAAAAATTGTTTTCTTTGCTGTAAAACAAATCCAGTTTACGTTTGCAATTTGGAGTTGTGTTGATTTGACTACTGGTTAAGATTGTGAAGAGTGGAAACCAGGTAATAATAATTGCCCTTCATTGTTCTCACATTGGAGAAATTTACTCCTGCATTTAAGCCATTCCCTTGGGGAGCAGTGGGCTGTCATAGTGGGGCCCTCGGTAAGCAGTGTGGGGTTAAGGGTCTTGCTCAGAGTGAGTGCAAGTGGGGCTTAAACTCAGAACCTCAAAATTACAAGCTCTATGCCCTAAACACTAAACACATCCCCAGATACAGTAGCAGCCATTCAAAATGGCCCTTCCCAGTCAAACGGCAGCTGAATGGCAACCCACTTCCCTGGATCCCCTACCACTTCCAGCCACTGGCCTTCTCCTTGTCGTAACATATTTTTTTACCCTGACTCCACCCTTTCACTGAATTACAGGGTCTGACCAGGAGATGACGCTTCTTTTTAGATCTTAATGTCCGCAAACCATGACAAAAAATAATATTTTAGTACAATGATTGATTTAAAAAAAAGGAATTGTAGGGGACAAGACAGGGACCAGCCAAGAACCAGCCAAAGGCCCATCAAGGGAAGTGGGGAAATGTCAAATGTCAAAGTTTCTACACAAACTACAACTGCTGCTGCTATTCCTCATCCTAAACCCACAACCATTCAGCAACACTACTATTGCAACCCCACAACCTCACCATGAAACATTTGTTCATTTTTAAGACTGCTGAGGAAACCTATCGATCATAAACACCTCTCCAAGACCCTGCAAAAAATGTGTATGTTCTACCTATTATTTTAATTAATTATATAATTCATTGAATTAAATAATTTAGAATTTATTTTAAGAAACCAATGGTCAAGTCCAGTCATCAAAACTTGATACCCAGGTCACGTTCATTCCTAGACTATAAACTTACACCCAGACCCCAACACCCTGGTCATGCCAATAAACACACTCTGCATTGCACTCTGCTTCCCTAGTCTCAGCAGTCTCTTGACATGGTCACGCCTTCATCAGGAGGATGAACTAAAGGCAGATTTCTACAAGTGTCAGGATGGAAAAAACAAAACAAAATTTAATCCAACCTGACAGCCTGTCAATGTGCTCACGAGAGGCTGATCATGGATCATCAAGTGTGCTACAAGCACTCGCAGGTTTAAGGTACAGAGTTTCCATCCATAATTCATATCAGAGAGTAAACAACCGAATCACTAGCTTAGTTACTGATGTGATCACTGGACAAATTAACTCAAATGGCGATTTTTCCCTGTGCCATGTTAAAAGTATAACCTACTTGGGAGAAAAAATGTTACCTTTGTCTGAAATTTCAAACAAACAGATAACAATGCCACCTTCTGGTCAGGCATTGGAATTTTATTATATTAGTCAGTTTTTCTGTCATTTAAATGAGGACAGAATATATATATATATATATATATATATATATATATATATATATATATATATATATATATATATATATATATATATATATATATATATGTCTGTATATATTTATTTATTTATCTATTAGCACTGTGAATCTAAGTTATTTTATATAAAGTTGGTATGAATTCTAAGCACAGACAAAAGTCTCTGTGTATGTGCATAGACACTCCAACTCACAGCTCTTTATACTGGGGAGTTGATTTACAGCCTCTGAGTTCTGTTTCAGTTCTAATTACACTTACACACAGCCTCAGCTACGAAGCCTCTGGCAGGAAGGTTCAAGAGCCAAAAAAACTCCTGAGTCAGCACGTCAAAGCCCCATCAGATCCGCTTCCCAACAAGTCTGGACTCCCATGACTAATCCTCGCCTCTCATCTCATTTCTGCTCATGAAAAGTACCATGACTCTGATTCCTGATAATTGCAGGAGTTACTGTAACAAACATTGGAGTTTGTCTAATTCTGGATTTCATCTGCAACTGGTCTTTTTCTTTTATCTCTTAGCTATTTTTTTACAACATTATGCTGAATATTTTTTGCAGATTTCACAGAAACCAAACATCATAAACACTTTTTGATTGTGTGTGTGTACTGGTTTACAGTGTGTTACCTATTTAGGCCTGTTTTTGGTGTATTTACTAGCCTTCCAAGGACCAACAGGGCAACCGAATGCTGGTCCTTATGTGGCTGACCCCATTTCTATCCTTAGTATACCTCTGTACCTCAGTTTAGAGGTACAGCATGGTGTCAATTACCTTTAGGTTAAGCTTAGAGTTAGTAATATGGTGATAATGATTAGGGTAAATGTCTGGGTTTAGCATAAATGCAGTAACTAAAAGAATGTAAGTCAATGTAAAGTCCTAATATGGATAGAAATGCAAACTCGTATGTGTGGGTGTGTTTCAGGTTGGGGAGGCGGTAGAAATCTATAAAAGTATGAAAGCTGTTCTGTAACAAATTAGCTCTGGCGGTCTTAAATCTTGTCCTCTACTGAAGACTGACACAAAGAAAGTAGTCTTTAGAAAATCTCAGTTAAGATAACTGATGTTTACTGATGTTCTCCATCCAGTGACTGAGCCAAGAGGCTGTAAAGAGCTGGGAGAGACAAACTCCCCAAAGGAAATGAAGCAGTAACTGCAACTATTGGTTAAAAAACTCAGAGGACATTATTACAAATGCACATTATATTGAAATCCCTGTATCTTGTGATAATTCTTTTCTGCCACACATAAAAGTCTTACTTTAACAATCTGCTATATGTAATTTTTTCAGATTTTATCCTTACTCATCTTTGTTGCTTTATGCAATTTAGGTCATAATCTGTTTCAGAGACGCAAACTGGAGCTTTATGTAGTTTGTTTCTTCACAATCAGCAAAGTAATTGCAGCCATTGCAGCACCTGACTGTGTAGCAAAGCATTAGTCACCATGAGACACAGGATGCCCCCAGGATACAGACCGACATTGTCCTCTAATTCCCGGATTAAGACTCGCATCTTATGAAAAGAGGTTGTTAACAGAAAACTGCAGCTCATAATAAGAGAAAGAATGAAGATTTTTTTTTTTAGAAAGTAAGAAAAGTTGGGGAGAGTTGGATTTTCTATAGTAAAGCAAGGCCAGAGATTTCTAGGAACCTCCAGGCGTGGATTAAAACCAGACAAGTTGAGTTTGAATGCCTGTCTGACAGTTTTGAGTCTGTTTTCAAAAATATGTCTCCTTGGGACATATGCATCGGATTAAAAGCTTGTCTAAGTTGGTTTTCATTTTTTTGTTTCTCTGCAGAGGTACAAGGGACTGAGATTCCACTCATTAAGAGACCTTCCCCTGATCTCTGGAGCTGGCAGGAAGTGGCAAAGAGGCAGTACCAGAATGAACTGAAAACCAGGATGAGAATAAATCTGCATGATGATCGAGTCCAGAGAGAACCACAGGTCAGTACCCCACTTATTTACCTGGAAGAGCTCACTTTTTTAGCTCATGTAAAACTTCATTTTTCTTTTTTCTTTAAAGTAGCATTTATTATGAGTTTTATATGTGACTGTTTAGGGCCGTTGTAAATGTCATAAGGCAGAGAAATGTTCAACCTAATCAAAGGTCTGGTGAGATGGGTTCAGTTCAACCACACTTTGAAACTGAGCAAAAACTGATACACGTTCTCTCTGTATGACCAGCTTGTTGTATTTCAACCTTTTCCAAAGGAAAAAAAAACAATCGTTGAAATTCTCAGACGAGACAGTGTAAAAATCCGGAAGGTCCGTTTGATGAAAATGAGCTTCTGCCCAGGGGGCAGCGCTGGATGAGGTCCATATACACTCAGCTCAGTAATGCAAACAATGATGCTTCCACTCTTTTTGTCTCTGACTTGCCTGCATGCAAAACAGCACAAAATAAGAACGAGAGGAAAAATATGTTTGACGAAAGAAAAAGAAAATGTCAAGATTGTTACAAGCAACAAAAGAGTGAAGGCAATAGGAGGATCTGAGCAACTGGACGAAGGGAGGAATTTCAGATGGATGGCTTCAAGCATGACCGCACTTTGTTGTTGGTGGGTGGGTCCAAGTTCACAGAGTTCTATGTAGCATGTAAGCTCTTGTGTCAGACCTTCAGGTCAGGGCAGACTGTACAGGGCATATATCCCAAGATAATCACCAAGTTCTCAGCCAATCCCACATTGTGGTGCAAAACAAAACACCAGACTGATAACCGTCAGGATTAAAGTTCATACCAACAAAGCCTTGTTATTGCCTAGAAAACATGCACATTAAACCAACAGAACAGGTCCACCCCTTAGTAATGGCCTTTTATTGGGCTACTCTAAAAAGATTCGAACTCATCGCTAATCCAGACAGTTTGAATTGAAAAGGCTTCCTGGATGGGAAGCGAAACATCTTCAAAATTGGAAAACAAAGTCCAGTGGTTGTTTTTTTTTTTTTTTACTTTTTAACTTTTTGGAATGACTATGACCTGGATGACTGAGAATCTTCACCAGCAACCTCAGGTAAAACTATGAAAAGATCCAACTGAGTCAATTCTGATACTCTAATGATAAGATTAAGAGCTACACTGCAAAAAATCGGAATCTAGATAAGTCATTTTTTCTTAAAATAAGTTCATTTGTTCTTGAATTCAGGAGGTAAAAGAGACATTTTGCCAATGGAACAAGAAAACTTACATTAGAATAAGAAAACAATTGCATTGTCTTATTTCAAAAGCATATTATCTAATTATCTTATTTTAAGAGTAAAATTACTCATTCCATTGGCAAACTATCTCATTTAGTTTTTACTTATTTCTAGATCGTTTTTGCAGTGTACACAAGACAGGCAGATGTGCTGAAATCATTTAGCTCTTGTTGTCTTGGTAAATGCTGACAAAAACTGCAACATCAAACACAGCCTCAAACACTGGGAAATGCTACTGAGGACAGTGACGCTGAAAAAATCGTCTGCTTACCATCATCAAGAGGTTTGAGAAAAAAAACAACAAAAAAGACCATCTTCTCCATAGGAGATTGCCTAGGATAGTGATGTAACCAACAGAGAGCTTGCTTAACATCACCAAGTATGTGACAAGAACTTAAAAAAAAAAAATTTTACCAATAAAACTCTGCAAGTGAGATGGAAGCTCTGCAGGGAGAACAAGAATGGATATTGAGAAACCGCTGACATTGAAAAATGGGAGAAAGAGCAATCTTTTGGTGATTATCAGTGGATATGCCAACATGATGAAGCACATTGTGAAATAAATAAATAAATAAATAAATAAATAAATACAAAGAAAGAAAGAAAGAAAGAGTTTGAGTTCAAAATTGCCTTTATTACACAATCCAGCAATCAATAAAACAAAACAAAGTTAATAAAATAAAAACATCAAAATGCAAAAACTAAAGATTCTTCATCTACTGAACATAGAGCACCATTAATGCCCCACTTATTTACAAAAACATTTATACTCTTTGTCAACTTAGAAAACTCAAATTCTACCCGAACACGAGCAATGACCAGTCTCTTAAATAACACACAGGCATCTTCCGTTTGACAACCATTAATTTTGTTCTTTCTTGATATCCATATTGCTAGTTTTGCCATTCCAGAAATGAAATTTAGCATTCAACAAAAAGATGATACAATGTTTCCTCCTGTAAACAAAAAGGACAGTTAACACTAGCGCCAGGATTAAGGTGTGCCAGATACCTGTTTGTAGCTATTGCCCCATGTACAATCCTCCACTGGAGGTCACCCACTCGTTTTTCAATCGGGGGTTTGTACAGGGACCGCCAACAGCCTCTTGGGGTAGAGCTGGTGCCAAAAAACTCAGTCCACCTCGACACCCTCACATCTGCCAGAGAACGTATGTTCAGAACCTTCACACAGCTAGTGTACAAGGCCTTCTTCCCCAAGCCTTTAAAATGTCCTAGTGGTGAAACTTGGAAGGACAACAGTTTTTCTGGGTCGTTACGCCATTGATCCACTGCAGGAGAGACACTAATTGAGGGAAATACATATTCATACTCATCATCCCATTGGTTAAAACGAGTATTATAAGCAGCAAATGCTCTGACATGGTCTGGTAGAGAAGCACAGGCTTCCACTTTCATCCTCAACATAAGCCTGTTGGAACGCATATCAAGACGCTCAGTTAGGTTGGACACAGATAGCTTCATCAGATGACCCAGCTTCACACACCCGGCTTCTATCAACTTAGACCTTAAAGTACCAGATGACAATAGCTGTGATGATATGAAATCGTTTCCAAACAGAGGTTCTTCAAAGATCCACATCCCTGGTGATGTATCAGCCATCCTCTCAAAACTGAAAATCTGCCAGGCATTTAACACCAAATGGTAAAATGGAGTAAGAGCAGATAAGTCCAAGGATCCTTGTCGTAACAGAAAGAGATGTTTATCATATCCAAAAGATCCTGCCTTCCTTAAAAGAAGACGTGCAGTGTCCAACCATGGTAATCCAGTACCATATAACAGTTTCTGCGCTGTTTAAAGTCTGAAAGTTGCAATCCGTGAGGTGATGTCTATGAGTCCTTGTCCTCCCTCCTCCACTGGTAAGTACAGGAAAGCAGCTCTCACCCAGTGACGTCCAGACCAGAAGAAATCCACTAGAGTCCTTTGAAGACGTTGAATGAGAGATGCTGGTGGTGTTAACACAGTCAGTTTATGCCAGAGAGCCGAAGCAACCAAGTTATTAACAACCAGAACTCTTCCCCTGTAAGACAGCTGAGGCAGCAGCCATTTCCATTTGGATAGTCTGACACACACTCTCTCCATGACACCCTCCCAATTTTTTTCCATAAAAGTATCTGTCCCTAAAAAAACACCCAAAAATTTTAAACCTTGGTTTTCCCAATGAATATTACCTGGTAAAGCAGGCAGATTATTAGTCCATGGGCCAACTTTTAATGCAGAGCTTTTATCCCAGTTAACTTTAGCTGAAGAGGCTTATTCATAAAGCTCCAAACAGTGCTGAAGACCCCTTACATCATTCTGATTTCTAATAAAAATATTTATATCATCAGCATAAGCAGAGACGACTAAACCTGAATGATTTGGGATACCTGGAAGAATAACACCTGTTAAAGCAGAGCACAGTTTGTGTAAAAGGGGTTCAATTACAATAGAGTACAGTTGTCCGGAAATAGGACACCCTTGTCTAATACCTCTCTGAACTTGAACAGGACAACTTAATCCTCCCCCAATTTTAACAACACAAAACACTTCATTATACAATAAACCCAATAAAGAAATAAATCCATCCCTAAAACCAAAAGCCCTCAGAGTAGAAAACAGAAAACAGTGATCAACCCTGTCAAAAGCTTTTTCCTGGTCCAAGGAGATAATGCCAACATCAATTTCATATCGTTTACAGATATCAATCAGGTCTCTCAAAAGAAAAAGATTATCCATGATAGATCTTTCGGGTACACAGTATGATTGATCTTTGTGTATAATGGATTCAAGGATGCTCTTGAGCCTATTTGAAAGTACTTTAGAAAATAATTTGTAATCCACACAGAGGAGGGCAACTGGTCTCCAGTTTTTTAACAAAGTCAGGTCTCCTTTTTTTAGAAGTAAGGAGAGAACAGCTTGACGGCAGGATGATGGCAAGATGCCTGACGAGGAGCATTCCTGAAGAACCTCCCACAAGTCCTCTCCCAAAAGTCTCCAAAAATGTTTATAAAAATCTGCAGGTAAACCATCTAGATCTGGAGTCTTTCCAGAAGCCATTTGTCCAACAGCAGCAGTCAGCTCTTCCAATGATACTCCAATATCCAAAAATGCCCGATCTGAAGCAGAAAGTTGAGGGAGACCATCCACCAGAGCCTCCATGCAGCTTCTGTTACAGTCCTGCCGCTTGAAAAGATCACTATAAAAGGCCACAGCCTGCTCCTTCATGGTGTTGGGATCAGTGGTCAGAGTACAATCTGGAAGCCGAAGGCCAATCAGCTGTTTCGTTTGGCTGATATTCCTCTCCAAGTTGAAAAAGAAGGATGTAGGAGCATCCATGTCTTTAATATGAATGAACCTAGACCTGACTAAAGCCCCTTTAGCCCGTTCATATAAAAAACGACTTAACTTATCTTTCTTTTGTTTAAGCTGATCATTATTTATAACATCTGTGGGTACGTCATTTTCCAACAATGTAATTTCATTTTCTAAATTCTGAATCACATTTTTAATTTTAGTTGTAGAATGACTTGTATATTGTTGACAGAAGACTCTAATCTGAGCCTTACCGACCTCCCACCACTCAGTTAAAGATTTAAAGTCTGACTTCCTTTCTTTCCATAACTGCCAAAAATTACTAAAACTTTGACAGAAAGACATGTCTTGAAGCAGTTTGATATTGAAATGCCAATAAGATTTATTTCTAATAGTGGGTGAAAGACACAAATCCATATAGACTAGATGATGATCAGAAAAACCAACTGGACAAATTAGGCAGTTGGACAGTCTATTTCTATGAAAATCAGATATATAAAATCTATCCAATCTAGCCCCACTAACAGTTCCATCCTTCATTTTTACCCATGTGTACTGTTTATCTTGAGGGTGTTTATTCCTCCAAGCATCAACTAAATTCAGCTCTGAAATCAGCTGAACCAACTTAAAGGAAGATGGAAGATGAGGTTCTTCATCTGTTCTATCTGTAGTGAAGTTAGTCGTGCAGTTCCAATCCCCACCCATCACAACACACTCATTTTGATTAGACTGCTACAAATAACTGTGTATTTTCCCAAAGGCCTCAATCCTGTCCCCTCCTTGGTTTGGTGAATAAACATTAATAAAACAGCAATAAAAGCTTTCTATTTCTGCTCTAATCAGCAGGACCCTGCCCGGCACTAACTCAGTTTGTGATTTGATGTTAGCAATCAATCCTGGAGAAGATAAAATAGCTACACCAGCAGATGACCTGGTCCCATGAGACAAAAAATAATTCCCTTTCCAACTGATACCCCATTCTATCTCGTTTTCATGATCTGTATGTGTCTCCTGTAAAAACAAAACATCTAGCTTCTTTTGAATGATCATCTCCAAACTAACTGTTCTTTTAAAAGGATCCCTCCCACCATTGATGTTTAAAGATCCCACCCTGATATTATGCATAGAGGTGAAAAAGAAAGGAGGGACACACAACGACAGTAAAGAAAAGACCACCCAGTGTTCTATAATCATAGCTTTACTTCTGGATTTTTAAACGGTTTGACCCTTGTCCTTTATTTACTAATAACTGTCTCCGGAGGTTTGTCATATGCTTTTTTAAACGGAAACGTTTCTTTTCATCAAGCATTTCGAAGCCAACTGTCTTCTGTACCATTCGGGCACTCTTGATAAATTTTTCAACATCAGGAAAATAATCTGTAACTTTTACATGTTTTCCAAAAGTTTCATCAAGGAAAACATTGATTTCCTCTAAAGTATACAGGTCACCACTGTATGTTTGAGAATCTGCGATTGAAACGGTGTCTGATTCACTGTCATACTCCATATCATCCACCTGTGGAGCGTCAGGTGCAGGCTGGGACGCCCCCTCACCTGGAGGCAGCAACACTGAATCAGCAGAAAAACAGACAGAATTAGCTGTCTGATCTGTTTCTTTCTCAAGATGACCACAGTTAGAAGACTGGTTCAGAACATTATTTCCAGGTTTCTCCATTTCATCCCTCATAGGCTGTCTATCCATAGCGCTGCTTCCCTCTTCAGCATCAGAGACAGTTACCGGGGGAGACGCCCCCTCCTCCGCAGCGGGAGGAGAACCAGCATTCAGCGACGCTCCACCGGTTGGATCTGTTTTAGCCTGCTCTGTCGGGTTTTTATGCGGACAAGCGGCCCTTTTATTTTATTTCATGTTTCCAGTGCTTGCATAAACCATGTAAGATCCTTCTTGATATTTGACTCTGAAAGACACCTCCAGCGTCTGTGTCGCAGAGTTTAAAAAAATAAACACCTGTCTCCTAAAGGACTGAACATGTTTAAGTTTATCGCTTTTACATCCCAGCCCCACTGTTTTGAAACCGCTGGCGAATTTCCCAAAACGCTGGAGTTCTTTCTCCAACAAGTCATTCGGAATGAACGGCGGCACACCTGAAACAATAACCCGGGTGGAGGGCACACAATAACCCGGGTGGAGGGCACTGCAAGCGGGGACACCTGCAGATACTCTCCACCTAGTGTCACTCCACTGACTATCAACTGAGTAACAAAACGCTCCTCCTTCAAAAACACCAAAACACCTTTATTCATTCTCGAAGCGTAACCTAAATTGATGTGACCCACAATGTCACCAATAGCCAGGAGAACTGTTTCAACTGGGATTGACGGATCAGGCTGAATCTGAATCCCATTCCTCAGGGACAGGGGTGGCGCCTCTGAAGACGCCATCCCCGCAAACAAAGAGCGCTGCAAGCGCTAATGAGACAAAAACCACTCCAAAGTGTAGAATCAGTGTAAAGAAAGAATATTGGAAAAAAAGCACATAAAAAGAAAAAGATCAGAAAAACTGTAATAGACAATACTTTCACTCTCAATCAGACTCACCACATGCAGCCTCACCGTCACCAACACACTCCCAGCATGCAATGCAGAAAGAAAGAAAGAAAGAAAGAAAGAAAGAAAGAAAGAAAGAAAGAAAGAAAGAAAGAAAGAAAGAAAGAAAGAAAGAAAGAAAGAAAGAAAGAAAGAAAGAAAGAAAGAAAGAAAGAAAGAAAGAAAGAAAGAAAGAAAGAAAGAAAGAAAGAAAGACTAACAAGCAATCTAAAGTTGACAACAGAAATATAGAATATATCACTGACCCCCAGGTCTGGCATTAATTTTACATGCATGAACTCTGGTTTAACAGCCAACCTGTAACTAGCTGGGGCATGCACTGATGTGGGGTTTTCTGTAAGCCTTCATTATGCTGTATAAAGGAGTCAAAGACTTGGAGAACTTTTCATCCATACATTCAGATGTCTGATAAGGTGGACTGTGCCTCCTCCTGCTCTGCTCTCTAATCCTCGGCCAACTAATCAGAGGAACGGACCTCTTTGATCCCAGTGGCAGACAGATGCCCTCACTGTATGTGGAGCCTAGGCATGACTGAATACCTGTTAAAAGTGAAATAATGGACGGTGTGTTTTTTTTTGCCTTTTTCTGTGTGGTTGGGGCCAGCAGCTGAGTTAGACCTTTGAGGCTTAGTAAAAGTAAATCTGTCATTCTATTTTAAACCGAGCTGTTGCTTCTCTCCTGTTTACACCAGAGTGCCTGTCAGCAGGAGCTGGACATGGTCTTAGAGGAGATCTCTAAAATGACCTCCGAGGACAACAGAGGCCCCCTGGAGAACCTGTACGGGCTCAAATTTCCAAACTGTGACAAACATGGACTGTACAACCCCAAACAGGTGAGCCGGAGGTTACACTGACCTGGGATCTTTTGGTGGTTTAATTAACCTTCATAGTAATTTTATACCTAAAGGTCCATCCTTTACATGTGAAAATCACATGTGATTGCTTTGCATTTTATTTTATTTGATTTGCAATTCATGCAACTATGAAAAAAAAGACATGAGGCTTTAGCAACATTAAGGGCTTGACCTGTAAAAATTCAGAACAGAGAGCACTTGTTCACACATGCAATGTTTTTTTTAGCATGTGCAATAAGTCAGCATCCTTGGTGATCCACCACGATTGCTGCGCACATGTTTAGACGGCAAATCAGTTTGGTTCTACTCCATTAAAATGAGCACATATCCTTTAGAGGGCAAGTCACCATTTTTAGTCATTTGAATGCCCCTTACAAATGGAGTCACCCCATCCGTCAGTGAGGACTAGCAGGGGAAGATTTATATCCTGCCATTTTCAGTAAAGATACTGCTCAAGGCAGTATTTAATTTTGGCATTTGACCAATCAAATAAGCCCTTGGGTGACATGTTACCTACTGTAAATTAAGTTGAAAAAGGTTAATATGTTAAGTGAAAAAGTTAAAAAGCTAAACATAAAAAATATAAGTGCCTCTATCAGCATTAATGATCTAAGGTTTGTTTGTTTTAACGGAAAACTAATTTGTTTCTTTCACTCTGTGTTTTTCACAAATTTCTTATAGAATAACTTCTGGGCAAGTGACCATTTCTTGTTTTATATATATATATATATATATATATATATATATATATATATATATATATATATATATATATATATATATATATATATATATATATATATATATATATTCTCCTGTTCTCCAATAATGCTCTTAGTTTAAAATTTTGATTTTCAAAGTAGTTCACAGAGTTCCCGACAGCATAAAGGGTTAAGAGTGGAAAATGAGGTTCTAAATCATGTTTTAGGAGCTAATAATGCAAAAAAAATTATTTAAGAATAATAAATATAGTACGATAAATATTTGTATAGTATTTTACATAGGTAGCAAACAAAGTAAAAACTAAAATGAAAAAAAAAAACTAACTAAAGCTAAAGAGACATTTCTTAAGTTTTAACATTATTAAATAGTCTTTTTTTTTTACCCTTTACAACTAAAACCTTGTGTGATTAGCAGATTGACACCTCAGTGGTTAAACACCAATGCATCTATAAGGCTGTAGCCCATATTCTCTGAATGTACTAAGGGTTCGAAGCTACTGCGCTGTTCTGTGGATGTGAATTCAAAAGTTGTCCATGTTACTGTAAATGGGTCCAACCTATTGCTAAACTGTTGCTACTGAGAAGCTACCAACATGCAGCTCAACTCAGGCACCAATGACATCTCCAGGTAAGGTAAAAAAAAAAAAAGTAAAAATAACCTACAGTACTAGAACAAGCAGAATAGTTCTGCAGTTCTGTGGTTTGGCCACAGGTGTCAGTATCATTAGAAAACTGTAATGTCTCTTTAATATAGAAATAATTAAAGAAGAATAATTGGAAGGGAGTGGCGGCCTAGTGGTAAGAGGATAGAGCTTGGTATCCTGAGGTTCTGAGTTTGAGCCCCACTCCCACAGACTGCCACTCTGGGTCTCAGAGCAAAATACTCCCCACACCTCTCCCCGGGCGCCCCACGATGGCAGCCCACTACTCCTCAAGGGGATGGGTTAAATGCAGAGGTAAATTTCTCAATAAAGACTAATAAAGTTCAATAATGATTGCTATTATTTTATGATTGACCCAACATTAAATTCAATCAGTCTGCGCCCTTAGTTTTCCTGCCTTCATACTGCCTCAGCTGCTCCTCATTTAATAAGATTGTCTCTTCTGGGTTGTTTGCCACTTTTTTCTCCCTTCTCTGTATTTAAGCTTAAGCTTAAATGTATATGCCAAAGCTATGCTCTGTATTTGGGTGCTTACTTAATTAAACCACGACACACATGCATGGGGAGACAATGCAAACTCCATGCAGAAAAGCCCCCAGGTGGGGTTTTGAGCCTCGAATGTTTTTATGGTGCAATACCTAAGATTCAAATCCAGTTCGTCATATCATGCTTACTTGGAAAAAGATGATTGAATTGAATCAATTAATTTGTGTCCGCCTCTCCTTCTGCTTGCATTAAGATACAATAAGCAGGAGTTACTCTGTTTTATGAAAAAAAAAACAACACAACACATTAATGATAATAAAATGACTCTAACAGAACTAGAAACAGACCACCTGTAGCAACCAGGGATGAGGGAACAGAAGGGAGAAACAAAGCATAAATGATTTGCTAGGAATCTATGGGATAAGTGAAACAGTACACAGAGTTAAATTCCCAGCAATAGCTTTTCTAATGATCGTGTCCAGGAAAGATATTTGGCTAAACACAGAAATACTGAGCCAGAAGAACTTTCCATGGAAAATAAAAAAACAAAGAGTACAGAAAGTATCCACAAAGTACCCACAGAGTTTCCAACTTAAGAAAACTGGCCTGATTATGCTTTAGAAGTAACCAGAGTTAATGATAAAGACCTGCCGTGCCGCTGTTTAATCACAGATTCAGACTCAACAAAAGCTTTAAACGTGTTTATATGAGTAATGTCAATGTAAATATCACACAGCAAAGCTACATGATGTCATATCTGATACGCTAACCCACACATGGCATAATACTTTTTAAAATTTTTCAACGTATAAAGAAATTGGTTACCTAAGGTAAACTAGTTTATGTTGTAGGAACTGAAAATGTTTAACTTTGAACTATGAAGCCATTTTAACGCTAACAGCTGATCAGGGCCAAGGTGGATTCAAGGAGCAATGATCAAAATAAAATAAATATAAACTAAAAAAATAAACTAAAGCTGCTACACCAGACTAAACAAAGATAAAACTGGTTTAATTATATTAAACTTTTACAAAATTGTTATTATATTATGTTATGATGCTCTAATACATATATTTTGTATAATTCTGTTGTGTCTGTCAAGCTGTATTAATACAATATCCAGCCTCTGATCATCTGAGTTGTTAAGTCAGATAAGTCAGTTAAGTCGTTTTAGATTTAATTATAATTTTGCGTGTGTGAATATTGCTATCTATCCTTAAAATAATGTGGATTTACTGTTTGACAATGAGGCTCCAAGATGGATGCAGAGGATTTAGGGTTGATCAAAACTGGCCTTGCTTTTTCCCTAGAATTTGCACCTTTTCCCTGTAGGTTTTCTCTCAGTACTCCTGATATTTTCCCACAGGTTCCAAGATGAGGGTCTCAAAGTTCACCCTTAGGTGTGAGTTAATGTGTGTTTATGGTTTTGTTGTTTCTCTGTGTTGCTCTCTGATGGATTGGTGACCTGTCCAGGTTGTTACACACCAGCCACCGCTTTTAAAATAAACAAGTATAGATAGTGGATGTATGTCATTGATGATCTGGGATTGAAAAAAAGTAACTGCTTCCTAAGCAACAGACACTTTTTAAGAGTGGAAAATATAAATGTAACTGTCACAGACAAAAGGAGCCTAAAAATACCTACAGTACTGTAGATTCAGCTGCTTGATGAGTTTAAATTGGTGCAAATATTAGTGTTTTTGAATAGAATAGAATAGAATAGAATAAAATAGAAAATCCCTTAATGGGAAAATCCCACAATGGGGACATTCTGGTGTTTACAGCAACAATATAGAACATACTGTATATTACAGAAAAAATGGTCACACAAATGTGGATCTTTGAAAAATGTATAAGAATAACATATTTGGTGAAGAGTTAAAAGATAAACAATACAATACTTTACTATAAAGTGTTTTAGCAATATAAAACTGTGCACTTGGGGAATAAAATAACCAATATATACGGCTATGGACTTTTTTACAGTGATGGATATTTGAAAATAGCAGCAACATCAGAGATGTGCAAAAGGACAGCAGCACAGCAGTTTTCCACTTAAATGTGTTTTTCTTGAGTAGCAGTGGAAATGTAACGGCTGAAAGAACTAGAAAATTTCTAAAGAAATTTTGAGGGGGGCCACCTACTGCCCGTCTGGGTAACTGGGCCAATACGGCCCTGGCAAGTGACATTGGGGTGATTCTCACGAACCCAACCTATTGAATGTCTTAGAAAATTTTAGGGTCATACTCATAAAAAAATTAAAATAATCCACTTTTATTTGGACAATCATTATTTCTAATATTTGGGACAGATCATTGTTGGCTACCAAAATAAATTTTTTAATGTTTTTTAACTGTTTTTGAAGTCACAAATTCATTACCGTAATGTGTCCTAAGGGGAAAAAAATTATTTCGCCTCAATTTATTATTATGAATAATCAAGCAGGTTTATAAAAAAATATTATGAATTTGTTTAAATATACATAAATTAATAAAATATGATAATATATAATAATTTCCTGTTAAGTAATTCAGAATATTGTAATAAAAGTGAGTGTCCGGAGGTTCAACTCTCATTACCGTTGCACCGTGTTCAAAGTCCTGTAATATTCACAGCACTTTTTTAAATAAAGTTTTTCTGACCCATGATGCACCACAAAGAAGAGAAGACAAAGATGGCTACAAGGTAAGATTGTTTGACATCTTTAGATCATGACAACTGTTAAGTTTCTCCTTCCATATGCCTATTTTTACACTACAGGTTATCATTACCGTAATGTAGAATACCTCATGTTCTTAAAAAGTTGTTAATAAGATGATTTCTTGTACAGAAGAAGTTAGAGAGTTCACACTGTTTGTGAGAAAAGTTTAACTGAGTCATCACGACATGCTAGAATTTTAAGCTAGCACATGTGGATGTCATTCATTACCGTAATGCATAACTTTCATTACCGCGTAATCTGAGGCCTGTTGCGGTAATGAGAAACAAGATTACGGTGATGAACAGTGTCATTTTGCAATAATAAATAGATAAATGTATAGGTTATTTAAACTGTAATGTTGTTTATTATACTTTCAATTTTTTAGGCTAAATTTCTAAGCTAATTTATGCTAATTGATATCACCTAATTTGAAGGGCAAAAGGAAGTGAACAGAAGAGGGCGGCATCAAGAGCTAGGGTGGAAAAACATAGGCAGAAGATTTATAACAATCCAGACCTTCTAGAGGAGTATAGAAGAAAGGAAAGGGAAAGGTAGTGTCTCTCTTTCTCCCTCTCTTCCCCTTTCCCGCTCTTTTTCCCTCTTTCTCGTCTCTCCTTCTATTCTGTTTTTTCACGCTCACACTGTACAAATACAGTACAGACTTTGCTAAATTTGCTGTCTCACAAATGTTCCTATTGATATCTTATTTTAACAGGTATCAGAAGCGCAAGGAAAAAGGGTTGTTAAAGGCAGCTGCAGATCTGACACCCAGGCAGCTGCAGAAACAGCGAAAAAAATGGAGGGAAAATTCTAATCGATATAATAAAAAGAAGCAAACAGTTAAACACATACTAAATGAAACCCCTCCCTCAGATGACAGTGTGAATCAAATCAACCCTCAGCCTCAACCACAACTTTGTAAAAGATTAATCCAACCAAAGACCGTGAACTCTAATCCATCTGCAACATCAACTCCAAAGCGGAAAAAAAAAACAGCCAAATTAAGAGAAAAACTGAGGAAGGCACAACAAATTCTTAGTAACAAGAAAAAGGAACTAGATTGCCTGAAAAAAAAAATTAAACGAATGGAGGAAAACAGGTCCACAGTTCTTCTTGCAAGTCGAGCCAAACAGAGGAGAGAGAACCGCAAGAAGCAGGGTGAGAGAAACCAAAGAAGAAGGATGAGTGACAATGTCAGACTGTTCCTGAACAGAGACGATGTGTCCACATTAATAAATGGTAAACTTGGGGAAGTCAGGAAGGGTGGACAAATTTATAGGAAGAGGTTCCTCTCAGACACCATGGAAAATCTCCACAAGAGATTTCTTAAAGAGAACCCAGGCCTCAATGTGTCCCGCTCCCAGTTTTTTAAGCTGAGGCCCTTCTGGATAGTGAGACCAAAGATCACTGATAGGGAAACATGTGCCTGCAAAATACATGAGAATTTTTCAAATAAAATTTAAAAAATGCACCATCTCGGATTGATACATACAGTATCTATTACTGATGTAGTGGCTTCATCTGTCTGTGATTCGGAAAACATTGATTGCATGTATGGTAGATGTGAAGCCTGCAAAGATATTACTTTCCCTGTCAACATGGATCCAACTACAAAAAACAACATTATATCTTGGACTGAGTGGACAACAAGGTCAACACCAATAAAAAAGAAACTGCAAAATGGCACTACCATGGAGATTGACATGAAAACCACCACCCTGGAGAAAAAAGTGGCCACTATTGAAAAACTTGTAGAGCTAACCAAGTCAGAACTGCCCCGGATATCTACTCATTTGTATAACATTTGGCACCAGTTCACTCATCTTAAGCAATTGAAAGAAAAATTGACCCAGCATGATGTTGTAGTCCATGTTGATTACAGTGAAAACTACACCTGCAAATGGAGCAAGGAAATAAAAGACGCTCACTTTGGTGGATCCCACCAGCAAGTCACACTCCATACAGGGGTGTTATACTACACTGGTGGTCAGGCTGAGTCCTTTGCTACTGTGTCTGCCAGTTTACAGCACGATGCTGTTGCTACATGGGCACATTTGCAACCAGTTTTAGGATACATAACATCTAACTACCCCCTGGCAAAAAATATCCACTTCCTGTCCGATGGACCAACATCTCAATATCGGAATAAGGTAGCATTCTACCTTGCGTCCACAGTGCCTTTTATGAAAGGGTTTAAGACTGTGACGTGGAACTTCACTGAGGCCTCTCATGGGAAGGGAGCTCCTGATGGAGTAGGAGGTGCTCTTAAAAACCTTGCAGATCGTGTGGTGGCCTATGGCACAGACATCCCAAATGCTTCTGCTCTACTAGAGAATCTGGCAAAGCACTCATCTGTTAGGCTTTTTGAAGTAACAGAGGATAATATTGCTGCATGTGGGGAACTCGTTCCTCCATTCCTGAAATCAGTCCCAGGAACTATGAAAATACACCAGGTGAGCACCCATATGTGCAACTAAACAAATGCACACTCATTTTTATTTTGCTTGGCTTTTTTTTTTTTTTAGCTTGGTTTCAATTTTTTCTCTATTTTTTGTTGTAAGTTTGCATTTCAAAGAAAATCTTTCTTTTTATAGATCTGACCTTTTCATGGTTTTGCAGATAAAACTAAACATAATGTCTCCACAGGTTGTTGCTACTGAACCAGGAAATATTAGATTTCGAGAAGTTTCGTGCTTCTGTAGTCACTCTTGTGACTGCTTCTCTCCAAAGGAGTTTGTTTTCACGCAAAGGGAATCTGAAGAGACCATCAAAGTAGGAACATGGGTCCTTGTGGACTATGACGGAGACCTCTATCCTGGCACAGTAACACAGGTAGGTTTAAGACTGAGTGGAGAATGGGAAGTCAGGTGTGCAAGTATTGGATTCAGATTGTCAACATGTAATATCAGGGTAATGATTATGTAATAATCAAATTGTCTTTGAAAAACACAGTTGATAAAATTTTTTTGCTTCATTAATCCAGATTGCCAGTGGTCAGTATGAGGTTGATACAATGAGCTGTGCTGGAGACAATCGCTTCTACATACCATCAATAAGGTTTGCTGGTGAGAAGGTATGGTATTATTTGGATGACATCAAAGAAATTATTCCTGAACCACTGCCTACCTCTTCATCCGCAAGACACTTCTGTGTGGTGTCAGAAATCTGAGCCAAGTACAAAAAGAAAGTCCAATGAATTATTAAAATTAATGAATATTTTGTTTTTTTATGTAGCCTATGTATATTAAATCTAAGTGTCTAAGTGGCAGTCAAGACTTTCATTAACTATGACGCCTGGTAAATCAGGCCAGACCTAGAAGGAAAAAAAGAGTCACAAAAAAGGTCACAAATCATCTAGGAACAAAAAAAATCCATCACCACATCTTTTTATGTCTCCCTTTATCAGTAGTTCAGGGTCATTTTCTGAATTTGATTTGATATCAATTGAGTCTTACCTTTCCCCACACAATTTCGTTGCTCAGATTACTGGGCCATTTGATGAAGACATCAGCTGCTTTTCCTCTGCTGAAAACAGGGTAAACTGTTTCATTGCCTGAAATGGCTGGGAAAAATATGGGACTATTTTTCTGTTCAGTTTGTGTGTCAACTTAATAAACTTAACATTTTAAAAATATATGTTTTACTAGGGTATTTTATTGTTTGGGTTGTTAAATATTAATGTAGTTATGAAGGGTTCACTACCGAAACATTGTTTTTCATTACCGACATGTGTTTTTTCATTACCGCTATGTTAACTGTTTGAGGATTTATTTAGATTAGTTATGTGAATTACTTTTATATTCATCCCTTGATGAAATGTGCCAGACCCTTTTTATGTTATGGTTATATTGTTTGTTCAATGTAATGATTTGATAAAAAAGGACAATCAAAATTTACTTTGAAATTTGTATCACTGTTACGGTGATGAAATGATTTTTTGAATTAAAATATAACATTTTGTAAAAAAAATGCCTATTTTTGCTTATTTCTGTCTCTCTGTGCACGCTGAAGTCCTTGGTGTCCAAAAAATGTGAAAAAAATGGTTTTGTGGTTTTAAATTTCTTCATGAAAATTGTGTTACGGTAATGAATTTATTTGGTCAAAGTTAGAATAAAATGTTTAAAATTACCTAGAAAATGTGCATATAGATTATAATTTTACAGTGAAAACTGAAATTACGATCTGTTTTATAAAGAGTGAGTTTTTTTTTTGTGTATATAATGTTTTTAAAATTTTGCTACAAGTTGGACCATGTTCGTGAGAATCACCCATTGGGGCTCCCCAGACCAACTGCTTACGCCTTTGAGGGCTGCTGAGGGAAGGAAAGAGGGCTAGGTCATGGGCAAAGAGAGCTGTGTGCCACTTGTGCTGAAATCTGGGAAATAGACGTGCACAGCATATGATGCACAAGGGTAATATGGGTTGTCCATATTGAACCGCAGTGGGTAAAGCGCAGTTGGCGGGCTCTGCCCGCCTGCTAGGAGCCCTTGCAGCGATGAAAAAAATCACCAATGGCGGGCTCCGGCCGCCTGCTAAGAGCCATTGCAGTGATGAAATCACCATTGGCGGGCTTCGCCCGCCTTTTAAGAGCCATTGCAGTGATGAAATCACCAATGGCGGGCTCCGCCCGCATGCTCAGAGCCATTGCAATGATGAAATTACAAATGGCTATGAGCAATATGCCAGAATGTATGAGTGTGTATAAGGAAGAGGCTTTTATTCTGTAGAGTCCCTGTAGTGTTATTTGGAAAGTCTATCATGGATGTGCATCAAAAGATGGGTCATGCCCAGCAGTGATGTAGAATCCATTTCCAAATGTTAAATCACTGGTTTTCCATGTTATTAGGTGAATAGCTGCTGTATTACAGAGTAAATGGGAGACTTTTATTGTGAAATTTGCTCTGGGGTGTGTTTTGAAAAGGTCACTAGAGTCTAATAAAAACAACCTGGAAGAGTTTGGGTCATAATGTTGAGCCATTTGCATCAATTATTGCATTAGTATAATCTAGAGGCTTTTATTTTGTAGGGTCCCTGGAGTCTTATTTTGAAAGTCCAACAGAGTTGTGTTTAGAGAAAATGTTCAGACCCAGCAATGATAGTTGATGACTTTCCAATCGTTAAATCACTCTTTTTTCCATGTTATTAGGGCAGTAGATGAAGATGAAATGGGAGGCTTTTATTTTGAAATTTGCCATAGGGTGTGTTTTAAACAGTCTCCTAGAGTCTATTCTCTAAAATGGGGTTGAGTTTGGGTCATAATGTTGAGCCATATAGGGCAATAAATATATGTAAAAAATATAGAGGCTTTTATTTTGTAGGGTCCCTGGAGTCTTATTTTGAAAGTCTATCAGTGTTGAGTGGCAAGGGAAGTGTCATGGACAGCAGTCATATAGTATCCATTTCCCAATGTTAAATCAGTGCTTTCACCCTCCATTAGATTAATATGTGCTGTTTAAAACAGCAGAGGTAAAATCTGTTTGAAGCACGGTTACCTTGACAACGCTTAACGAGCCTGTCTGTGACAGAGAGAAAAGCGCAGCACTATGGTTCCTTAGCTCTCAGGCTTTTTTGAATGGGAGCAACAGCTCCGAACAAACGACTGCTTAGCAAAAATCGTATGAGTTATTCAAAAAATTTCTTCACCGTGAGCATCAGCAATCCTTCGACTCCAACTATGCCACTTTGGTGTATGTGTGTCATTCAGAACAATATTTATGACGAGTTAAATACACATAATGTCATTCGTTTTCTCCCCACTGCTGCTCCAAAACCAATGGAAAAATGCTCTGATTGTCATCGACTTTAGGTCGGTCTGGAGGGTTTTTAAGGAAAGTATTATTCCTACCGTAATTCCGAAGACATTGTGTGGGTCCAGAGATTTCAGTCTACAAACGGACCAAAAATGGTGACTGTAGCTCCAATATGTGGCGTAGGAAGAACAA